GCCCCCAGCAGCCCGCCAGTCCCTGTGCTCCCCTGGGCTGCCCGACCATAAACCCAATCTGCAAAGTGCTTTAGACAGGAAAACCCCTGAGCGAGAATTTTATTGTACAATTTAATGACCTACAGTTAAAAAACCGTTAGGTTCATTAATCAAAATACTAGAACTCCACATTTTTATTGATGTTTTAAGTACTTTAAGGATGAATCATTTCAGACTTAAAAGTGTGCCCGGCAGCATCTGGCAGCACATGGATGGCCAGAGACGCCATGAGAGGGGCCCCAGGAGGCTGGTGGGCACCTGTGCTCTGAGAGTCTGTGATGACCCCATGAGTGCCACTGGCACACGCGGGTACGAAGGGGAGGGAAGGAGAGAGGAGGGGCTGACGTCTCACATGTGGCTAATGACTACGAGACACTGCATGGGGGACAGGAGAGAACAAGTTCAATGGAGCCCACAGACTAGATAACACGATTGCAGAGGCAGAGCACAGCTGCGTGGTATAAAGGCCCGAGACCACGCCTCCTTCACTCCTGTGGGGGGTCAGGAGGGGGCGGCACTGCCACTGTAGGTGAGGGCAGGTGAGGAGGGCGAAGCCCCTCGCTGAGCTCACACAGCAGGGCAGCCTGCGGGTGGATCCTCCCTGCCTGGCTAGGGGCTCACAGGACATGGTCCTGACTCGGCCCACTGTACCGGCCATCACGTCACACTCTGGGGTAAAACTGGAGCGCCAAGGCACTGGCCACCAACCACCTGGCTCAGAACACCGACCAAGCAGTTGCTTAAAGCCCAGGAATACCTTGTCTTTAATGATGCTCTCTTGACACGCAGTGCACTTGGGGCTTGAGGAGCTGAGGAGAAACACAGGAGCGCGTTAGAGCAGAAGTCCCACATCACCAGGCCCCCCGGACACGCCAGGCCCGACGGTCCAGCCGGGTGGGCGGCGCGGGCGGCAACCAGATGCCACGGCGTCTGGTTTAAATACGAAACCATAGGAGAAAGGGGCATGTTTAATGGTCATTTTTCATAAGGAAGTTTTTAAGCAGATCAGTCCCATCTGGAAAGCCCCTTTCAAGTTAAAAGTGAAATTTTATTTCAGAAACCAAAACCAGCCATCTGTGGGGGGCTCTGTGGTGTGAGCACGCAGCTTCTCAGGAGCTGGTATTTTCTGGGCAGCTCTTCCCCGCCCGGTGCCCCGAGGGGCCGGAGCAGCGACACAGACCAACGCGCAGGGATTCCGAGGAGCCACTAGTGTCGCTCTTGTCCCTGCACTCAGGATGTGAGCCACGGCTCCCACGCTGCCCTTCGTGGATTTGCTTCTCACCCCATCCTGTACCTGGAAATCACCTTCTAGCGATTAAAAATAAAAGCTGAGTTTGAGCCCTCTCTGCTCCCAAGACCCTGCCCGAGAGCCTTGGGGCTCCAGGCATCCAGGACAGGTTTCAGCGGGGGCTTCGGGGAGGGGGCGGCAGGGCTGGGCACGTGTGCAGGTGCTGTGGGTAGAAGACGCAGGCTCCATGGGCCTGGGAAGCTGAGGGCTGATGGGGGAAGTAACGAGTGCTTTTTAAAATAAAAGCTCATTCACTAAGACGACACTCACATGGAGCTCGTGCTACCCTGCTTGAATCACATGAGTCTACTGACGTCTTTAGACCCCAGGGCTGCGAAGCTCCTGCCAAACACGGAGCAGGAGGAGAGCCAGGAGCGGGCTGGAAACCAGAGGGGCAGGCCTGGCCCAGAGCTCAGGCAGGCCCGTTGGAGAATCGGGCACATGTGCTGCTCTGCCGCCACTAAGCTGGACTCATGAGCTCTGGCACCCGCAGCAGGGATGCTGGGTTCGCTGTTTGGGATCAGTGGCTAGAACCACAGCTGGAAGGACCAGGGGAAGGTGACGGGGAGGGTGACAGGGAAGGAGGCAGGCTGCTGCGCTCAGCAGACCAGATGCGCGTGGCCTGGTGGGGGCGAGCCCAAGCCATCTTGTGCCCTGAGTCACCCAGTGCCCAGCACCATGCCCAGAACACCTGTGGGACGAAGCACCTGCTGTCCTGGCCAGCCTCGCCGACACCCCATGACTCCCAAACAGCACAGGCACCAGGCTGGCCGCGGCTCTGGGGCGCGTGTGCTCCACTCGCACGTGCTGCTTAGCACGTGACTGGATTCCTACTCCGGTTAGGGGTTAGGGGCGTGCCCAGCCGCTCCTCGGCCGGCACACCACAGCCCTTGCGCGTTAAGGACTCACTCCTTTGTCACCCTCTGGCGATGTGTCTCCACAGACCAGTGAGCTCCTAGAGCAAAAGTCAGCTGAACAGACGGGGGAGGGGGCACCAGGGACAGAGGGGCTGGCGGTCAAGAACACGGCACGAGCAGGAGACATTATAGAGGTG